AGATGCGCTGCTGCAGAGGTGTAGATCCATCCAGTCTGACGAGGCACCATTGATAGCCAGCACTATCAGATGAGCCCACAAGCAGAAGATTCATCTACATGCTCGCGATCAAGACCGACCCATGTGCGCCATTGACCGTCAATTGGGCAGACTGGGAATTGTGGTATCATACCGCCTCCGCGACAAGTGCCATTATTCGAGCATGAACTTTACAGTACTTGAAACTGCGAGCCAGCGCATACCGTCATCCTTGAATTGATTTCTTAATAGCACCGAACTAGTTATTCTTCCTCACTTCCTACATCATGTTGCCACTTTGCACACCCCACGGAATATACACAGACCCCGCGGCTGGACTCTTGCAACCTCCTGTGTATTTCGTACTCGACTATCGCCTATCATTCTCACAATGTGCGTCTAGGATTTAGAGAGATTTAGAGATGTTTCCAAGTGTCGAACAGAAAACTTAAATGGTAACATCCACGACCATCCTCCCTGAGATCCCTGCCACGAACTCTGGTGCACCCGTCATTGGCTGGTTGTCACTCGATTAAGCACTTGGCCACTGACTGGAGGAGCTGTCCGTTGTCTCGACCACCTCAGAGACCGACGAAGTCTGGTTCGATGCCTCCCATTCGCATGCGCTCAGGGAATTCAATCGGTTTGTACTGTTATTAGGGGCATGTGCAGGATTCGCTTGGGCTCTCCTGCTGTGTGTATCTGCTGCCCATGATGGACCTTGATGGTTGGATCCTGTGATTCATCTGTTGAGAACCTGGAAGGCTGGAACTACAGGCGATTAGATACTTTGGCAGCATCAATCCTAATCCAGATTCCGAAAACGGGCTGAGCGGGAAACGATTGAACTAAAGCAGCAGAACTTCACACACGCAGAGACGCCCTTACACATGCTGGGAAATGCTGAGATCTCGTTCGATAGCTACCACACATGCGATCTTGCCTTCGTCCCAGCTGCGCGCATCTCGATATGGACACAGAGAACTTGCAGTCTGGGAAGCGGGTAGCGACAGACATCGAGGACGACGCCTGTAGAGTGGACAGATCTAGGTCAATTAATCGAAAACGCACATGATTTATAGAGTTATAAAAATTGGATAGTTATAAATATAAAATATTCGATTGCTGTTGGAGAATATAAAATTGTACATTGAGGCCACAGAAACCCAAAATCAGGCCATGGACGTAGAACAGAATCACTGGAGGAGAAGCAGAGGTTTGCCGCTGATCCTGTATCCAGTCATGTAACATAATTGACAAATATAATTTCTCTTAGGAATGTTTCAAAAGTCTATTTTCCGCCGTCATATGAAGTTGAGATATGTAGTTATGTCGAGTTGTGCGTGAGTTGTGAAAACGGGGATAAACCAGGACAAGCCAAACCTCAAGAGAGACCTCCGCTCGCCGACTCTCGTCCTTTCTCCTCTCCCATCACACAATCGACTCCCAAGGAGCATTACGACAACCCGGAAAACAGCAGGTCAGTTTGAATTCCATCTCTTGCATCTCGCAGATCATATCCAGCCATCGCTGGCTTCAAATTCCCCAAGACGCATCGCATATTGACTTGCTCCCGGCGCAGGACTTTGGCCGCCATTTCCCACCCACGACAACGCCAAATGTCTCGATAGGACTCTCAACGGCATCATTTTTGATCAACTGTAAGTTGGACAGTTTCCTATTATCTATGCGACCAAGCAGAAAGATCGTTTTCTTCCCCATTCTCTCCTGTGTCTGCGGTGCATTGTGGCTGTCTTCATCATCCGTCAAGCGCCCACGATACTTCCGAAATCACCACAATCCCATCAACACCTCCTTTCTTTCATCAAACTGCCTCCTATCATCATCATTTGGTGTATTACTATCCATACTAACTGCTATAATCATCCAGATCGACAGTCTCCTCAACCCTCGTTCTGTCCTTGTCCATCCGCCAGCTTGCGACAGCGGTTCTTCCTTCAGGTTCTCAACCCATCCTCAACCAGCAACCATTTTCTATTCGCACCACGATCGGTCAGATCAGATTTGTTCCAACATAACCTGCCTCACTTGATCAACATCATTTGAATTCATATCCTCGAAAACCCACAAAATCGATTGTGCCTCCTACACCCCCTCAGCGCACCATCGTGCCCAACCCCATCACACTGCTGCAATGGATACGCGCACTGGAGCCCAGAGAATGGCTACACCACCAGCATCGTATGTTGGAGGCCAGTCCAATGCCAATACTCCGCATACGCTCAGCGTGTCTCCTTTTGGCAGTCCTACTCCAAAGAGTGTCGCATTCGAGCTCCTCTTCCCCGAATCCCCTCAGTATCGTGCGCGACTGCCCATGAGGGTGCAAATATTCCCACACGACACCACAGACTCCATCATTACAACTGTTAAAAACTTTTACGGGTTGTATGCTGGCCCTGGTGGTGCAAAGGGTGTTAGTTTTGAGGATGACCAAGGCAATACGCTAATCGCCCGCTACGAAAATCTGCGAAACAACATGATTGTGTATGTTCGAGTGATCGAAGAGCCAACACCAGCTTCCTATCACTTGGGATCACCAGCCATATCACAACCATACTATCCTGGGGATGGTCAACAGATGCCACCGCCGCAGCCGGCACAGGCGCTCAATTACGGGCAACCATTGTCTCGACCAAATTCGAGAACATCTCGCAAGCGAAGTGTCTCTCCCAATAACGGACGTGGCCGCCGCAGCACATCTGTGAGCACCAATCCACCACTACCAAAGAAGAGTCGATCTCGCTCGGGATTCAAGAGTCGCGGGTCTAGCGCCCACGGAAGTTTTGCAGACTGCCACAGCGATGGCATGAATGGCTATAGCAGTGGTGACGGAGCTCCCGGATCTGTTTCGAGCAGAACCAAGAGCGAACACATTGGAAATACAGAAATCAGTTTGGACAACATTGTTGAGGGTGGACGTCGCAAGAGGGCGAAGTTTGAAAGCTCGGTAAGTGCTCTAATCCCACAATACCAAAACATATTCTAATATTTTGTTTATAGGAATTACCATTATTCGCACCACCTCAAATGCCAGCGGCAACCTCCAATTCCTCGGTCTCACCCGCACGACGAATGGAGCACCATCGGGCTTCTCTCCCCTTTACACATCCAGGCTCGAATCCGTTCACCAACCCGCAGACGTTGCAATCCCCACAAAGCTTCAGCAATGGGTTTGGTCAGCCGGGGACATTCTCTACACCTGCTCCTGGGTCCCGTCGGACTCGTGGAGGAGCGGCATACCCACCTCGTCAATCAATTGGCTCAACTCCAGTTGGTGACAGCTCTGGAATACTTCCTACACCAGATCCTACAGTGGGTAGTTGCATGTCGGAAGAAGATAAGGATGTTGCCATGCAATTGATTCGTCTTGGAGAGATGTCAAATATTTCTCACGGTCGCACATCTGCTTCCACGCTTGATGACACCTTCAGTGGTAGGGCCGATGCGGCGTCATCCACTGGCGCAACCAGTGACGAGGAGAGTGAAAGCGAGCCCGAACTCCCTCCAGCTCGCCGCCAAAAGCGGGAAGCTAGTCCTATCCTTCCACCTGGCGCCATGAAGAGAATCCGTCCCCATCTTGATGATATTTTACCAAGTCAAGATAGCAGTGAGCCAAGTGGGGATGAGGCGGATTATGAATTCAACCCGGGCCACAACGATGCCTCCGCAGAAGGTCTCGACCAGAAACCAAAGATGCCAAAGGCCAGAAGTATGCCATCGATCATCATGGGTAAGCCTAAGACGAGCGCGTCGGGGGCCAAGGTCAACAAGACCAGTAAATCCAAGATTCCCCGACCTGGCCAGGTTGTCAAGTCAAAGAAGTCGGCCAGTGTATCTGGAAGCACCAAACCAATCTCGCCAACATCTTTACCTCCTCAATCCCGCAAGACTTCAAATGCATCGGCGTTGAACTTTCAACATCAACTTGGTGAGGATGAGGAAGATTTATCATCCAAACCTCGTTGCCAGCGTTGCCGAAAGAGCAAGAAGGGTTGTGATCGTCAAAGGCCATGCCAACGTTGCAAAGATGCCGGCCTCAGTGCAGATCAATGCGTTAGCGAAGACGAGAACAATGGTCGTAAAGGTCGATATGGACGTCATATGGGTGTTCCAGTCAAGAAGGACGATATGTTGGCTGAGACTCCTATTCTCCCTACCTTGATGGCTGGTGGTCAAGGTAGCCCAGATAAGAGCAAGAAGAGAAAGCGGTAGTCCATGGTGTTGTTCACGACGGCATCAATACATTTCTTCACCTCCCGGTGCTCGTCAACAAAAGTGCTCATTCGGTAAACTCACATTGACTGACCTTTACCACATCGAATCTCTACTTCTTTGGCGTTTACGGAATGTTTATTTCTGAACTCATACTTTCGAGGCGTCTAATGTTTCGTGGCAACTCTTTGTTAAGTATCTCTTTATTGTACTTGGTCTCGATGGTAATGTCCTTGGGTATATTTGACCTCGTTGAAGCATACTGGACCTGGTGGAGGGGCGGAAAAGCAGCACACTCCTTATTACGACGCATGGATGATACTAGACGATTTTCTTTGGCTTTCTGTTGTTGTTGTTCATCGCGTCAGATTTTGCTCGCCCTGATGGTCGATTTGAATTTTGGTTTTATTTTCGCGCGCTTTTCTTGGCTGTTGCACTGCTTCTGCTGCTTTTTTAATTTGAAATTTGTTTGTTTTGTTGTTTTTCTGAGAGAGAAGATGGTGGGAGAGAAGGAGAGTGTTGTTGAGCGGAACGGAGGAATGATTTCTGTGGACACTTTGAGGGATCTGGATCACGGGGTTGGGGGGCTGTAGGGGACTGGCTGGGCTATTGGGTTTCTCATATCATGAGACGGGGTTCTGATTGATAAAATATGGGAGATTGGGATGGACAATGGGAAATTGGGGGGGCGCTGTATGGGGATATAACTTTTGTTTTTGTTTTCTTCTCTTGTGTCCTTTTTTTTTCGTTTTTGTGTGGATCAAAGGGGATGGACGGATGGATTATGAAAAATTGGAATTAAGTTGATATACAGAGATCAATTGAGAATGTTGATACATTATAAAAAATAGGGGTGTCGACCTTTTTTGTGGCTTGGTTTATTTGAGAACCAGGTTTTTAATATTCAAGTGAAAAGATCCGTCGATGTGATAAAAAGGGTGTGTGAGTAGAGCTATATATATCAATGAGGAAGAATCTATAAACTTACAATCTAGGTGCTCGTCTCATTCTCTCTTTTCTATCGATCCTATAAATAAAAGATCAACTCAGAAAGATCCGATATCTTGCAAGTTGGGAGAGTGGGTATTTCCCGTCGTTGCGAACACGAAACACTAGATTCGAAACAATCTATAACACGATGCATCCCACGATCAAATGCAGAACCTGGTATACATAAACTCTTGAAATCATCATTCAGCGATATATAAATATAACACCGACTTCTATGGTGAAAATGTCATGTTTGAAATGATTGAAGTGTTAGAGAAATCGAGATTAAAAAGCGTCCACAGCCACTCGTTCGGCTCCCGCGGTTTTTCGTACCCCGCGTTTTTCGCCCTTTGGGTTATAAGGAAGCGCGCGCTTTTTGGGGGGGGGGCTATAAATAAGTAACACTGTTGATTTCAGAGATATTGTGATGAGGTGATGTTTTATTACCAAATAATAATTTATTAAGATACATTTATTCGGGACGACGTATATATGTATGTAAGTTAGAATGTAAATAAGTGTAAAACCGCAAGGCTGAAGGAGGGGTACCTTAAATACCACTAACGCTTACGTCGTTGAGTTGAGTGTTGCGCTAGTCCCCTTTCGTGTCATCCCATCCCAGAATGCCCTCTGTCACAGGCACCTGGATGGTTCCACCGTTTATCATTGGCTGAATGGGAGCGGGGCAGGGGTGCGGATAGGAAAGTGGGGGTGAGTACGAAAGTGACGCATGGGTGGGGAGGGTGACGTTTCTGGTTGGGTGGGGGGGTGGACGGGTGGAGTTGCGGGCGGGTCGGCGGTTTTTGAGGGATGGAGGTGAGAGGAGCGGGGCGGAGCGGGGAAGATGGGATGTGTGAGGCTTGGCGTTGTACTGGGTGAGATCGTGGTAATGAAGTCACGGGAGCTGATGGAAACGAGGAAGTGCGTTGCGATATAAATTTTGGATGATGGAATAATCGTGGATTCTAGAAAATGAGATTACTACTAGAAAACAAAGATTACCTTCTCTCTAACGCACCCTGTTTTTTCTTTAATAGAAGACTAGAATTTGCGAATTTGTTATTGAAGAATGACTCTTAAGAAGGATAAGTTGATGGCGAGATGAGATAGAATAGACTTTTTGGAAGGGATGATAAGAGATAAGATGTATAAAACAATGTGAGTTGTTTTTAACTCTACTATCTTGACATATTACACCTTACAACCAGAACAACTTTCAACAGCTACAATCACAATGCGGTACAACAAAAATGAAGGCAAATCAAATGTAACGCCCTTTTCATAACCTTTGACCAGATTATACGCCATAACCAGATCATACGCCATCAGCAACCAGTTTTCCCTTATCAAAATTTGCACGGTTCGCTCTTCCGTTTGAGGACCGCCAGCACCAAAACCCTCGAAAGTCAAGAACAAATTTCCCATCTGCGCCATGAACTTCAAATATAATCCAACTCCAACTCCAAATCCAACTTCAACGCCCAAGTAACTTCCCACTATGGTTCCCAGCAGCCAGTCTCCCAGCACTTGGACCACTCTAACGCTCGCAAAGGTAAATAAGGTCCACAAAACGATGCTCCGCCCACATCGAGAACCCCAGACGAACTGGCCGAGCGAGACGAACATGAAGCTGGATAGCTTACGACTAGGGCATCCGAACCACCAAGCCCGAAAATCACTCGTTTGAAAGAATAGCATCTTAAGCCCCACCCTCGCCCTTTCAATCCTTCGCGTTTTCTTTGCTCGTTTTCTCTTGTAATATTTTCAGGACTCTCTACAGAGGTCGGTAAAAGTAACGGTATCGTGATCTGGGAAGAGGTATCTAAACTCGTACAGGGGCAGGGCGACGGGTACGGTGGCGGAAACTCTTGTAGGTCTACATGCCGTGCGGTTTCGACTAGGCATTGTGCGAGATTCGTGGTTTGTCGGAGGGATTACCGCAGGGTTCCAGTGACTCCCCATTTCCTCGCAGAGTGGTATCCGAGGTGAAGAGTCAAACTCCCACCAGAGGTCTGTAGCTCGTCAAGTGCGCCTCCGGATTACGGGTGAAATCCGTGCACCTTGTTTTCTGTGTACGTATCTTCCAGTCTCCTTCTCCAGGACGATTTACTACTCTTCTTTCGACCGATTTCTTCCGAAATCGGTAGAGCTCCTAAAGTGTTGCTGCGATTTCCTTCTGTAAATGGGCCAACGCCTGCTCAGCCTGCCCCTCTCCGACAAGAGCTTCGTAGAGATGTCCCGACTCGATGTCAAAATCCATGGCGACCTGATCTTCATTGAACTCGGCGACACTTTCCGTCCATCTAGGCATAGGCTGCTTCCGTTAGTTTAGTTGCTACTAGAATCTAGGGACTCTTCAATTTTCTCACAAGGTAATATCGGCCTCAGAACCGAGCCAGTCAAAAAGACTTTGTCCATCTTTCCTCCCGTACCTTCGATAAGGTTTTGGGCAAGTTTTCCCCCACGGGTGTCCTGAAGAAGGCATTTTCCACGCAGAGTGTTCCGACTTTTAATAAGTCAATGATAGCTTCATTGACTCTTTTATCCCCGTATCCTAGACACGCAAGGTTCTTTTAATTATGAGGCCATTGTGTTGGTATAATTATTTCGGTTGTTTTGGTGATATCGTAGTCGATTCTCACCAAAAGGTTATTGCTTCCCACACTGTCATCTCGTTTGCGTTTTCTCACACCAGAACAGCGTGGAAAACGAGAAAAGATCCGAGGTCCCACATAAAGTCCATTATCGCTTTATGTATGCGTATTCCTGATTTTAAAAGGGCACACCGCCTTGCTCCATAGGAAGCCCTTTTGAACCGCGCAAATCGGGCAGCTCAAGAAGGAGCTCCTCCTCGTTTTTCGGCCGAAGTTTTTCTTCAGCCGGGAAAACATGATCCTTTTTTAGGATGTGTATAGGGCTCATGACGCCGACCTTGTGAGCAGTGGTCGGGTGTAGAGTTTGCCTGGTTCGTTTCGTTTATGATATTTGCTATGTCGTAGTCATTTCGTTCCAAGGTTTCCGCATCTGGGGCAAGACGTTAGCTGTAGTTCTCAACCATATCTAGATAGAATTTTCCAGAATGAAAATCTGTGAAAGACTGGTACGTACCAAGGCACGCCAACGTTTCTTCGCAATGCACAACATGCATACTTCGAACCCCTCCTCAACTAAAGCTGCATTAGCTTACGTCTGAAGTACTTATTGAAGATCTCAACTTACCCGCACCACCACGATCATTTCTCCCTTGCCCCTATCCCACACGATCATCCCCACCCCCATCATACATCCGTCCCAGCCAGGCGCAAAACTGCATCGCGAGATGAGTATTGTCGTGGCCGAGCGGCGATGATGACAAGGAGAAGAAGTGGAATGTAAAATGTCGCACTGTTATGCTGGAGTTTGGTGGGATCGGCTCCTGACCAATTAGGGCTACGTCAGCGTCGACCCCGCTTTCTTCACTCTCACGGATGACCCGATCACGTGATGTTGATGCTCTAAATATAGACGAAAACATTTCTCTCTTCATTCTTGCCATTTAACATCCATCAATCTATTTTATCTGATATACTCTAACTAATATTTTAATTCCTACGTAACGATTCTCATCTTCGACCAAATCTCATTCCACCTTGCCGTCACCACAGCTGTTTGATACATCGCGGGATATTTCCACTTTGGAACACTCCAAAAGAAGAATCCAAACACCCAAGCATACCCAAAGAGCCTCCCGAACCAACTCTCTTCAATCATTTTCAACTCCTGTGACCATCCCAATCTCTTAGCAAGACTCCTAACACCCATTAAAAACACAAGCTCTCCAGTACACCCCAGAAAGTTCATCAAGAACCACCAAATATCCAACCACCACTCCTTCTGACCAAGCTGCCAACTAACGGCCGAATGAGAGACTCCGGAAAGTGCAAACACAACGAAAGCAACCACTAATTTAGACTCTGCTGCACCCAACCCCAAACTCGAAGCCGCAACCTTTCCGTAGTTCATATACGGCCTCACAGCAACTCTATGCCAAAACCTGGACCAAAACGTCCTCAACCCCGTAACATCCGCCGGATTCCCAAACAACGACGGCCAATCCCTCGGCTCATCAAGCCCAATTAACACGAAGAAACAAGCTAGAATTGAGTTCGCGCCGTCGAGATATACGAGACTTTCCCAGATCCAATAAACGGCCATGTAACTCCTAATCACGAGCTCACGCGCCGTGACTTCAGACCAGACGTAGAAGAGCCGACGAAAGAGTATTTGCTCTTCGGGCGAGAGGTCTTGGGGGATGAATTCTACGAGGGTTTCGGCGAAGGCGGCGGGGATGATGCGGACGTGGATGTAGTAGTATATTGGTAGTTTGATGAGGCGTAGGAATAGGAATACTGATAGACTTTGCTGAGATTTCTTCTCGTTTTCAGGTCCTGGTGTCGTGTTGAGCAATTGCGGGTTCCCCCAAATCCGATACGCAGCTCTGAAATTGAAGACAAAGTTCTCCTTTTGCGTCAATCCTGGCGGAGTCTGGGGAGTCGGCCATTTCTCAATATGCAGTACGGAGATGGTATGTAGAACCTTGAGCGTGACGGCGAGACACCAGAGAGATGTCACGCCAGGGAGGAACCAGAAGTATTTTGACGCCGAGAACGAGAGTGCAGAAAACAAGAGAAAAGGCGGTAGGAAGTAAAGTCGTCTTTTTTGAGTCAGCGATTGGAGGGAGTGGTAGAATGCGATGTCTGAGAGTGCGAGGTAGATTAATGGGACGAAGAGGAGAGCGAGGTGCTTGGATATGGTTTTTAGTAACGGCATTTTGATGAATGAAATATTAAAATTTGCTCAGCAAAAGAAGGACGAAAGTAAATATTGAATGAACAATTAAACAAGTGCAAACAACACATCAGCAATATATCTCATCATTAAATCTCACACTCATCCCTTTCAATCCTCAAATACCCGCACCAGTTTCAACATATAACCTGTAACCCCTGAACAGTCAGCACCAAATCCTAATGCTCGTTAATTTGTTTCGTCGCACTCGCACACGAAGATTGAAACGAAGGATGGGAAATGCGGTGACGGATTTAGAGTTGTGGGGGATGTGGCTTACTGTGCCTCTTTGTGAGATGCTGTTTTGGGTTGCAGCGAGGCATATGGCGGGCGGAAGGCTGTGTGACGGAAGACTTGTGATAGATTGTTGGTTTTGCGCGTTATGGGGGTTTGGTTTGTTTTGGAGGGGGTGGAGGGAGAGAAGATTTTTGAGGTATGATTTGGTGAGGGAGGGTAAAAGATCGGAGGGTGGAAGTTTGATGTGGGAAGGAAGCAAAGATCTAAACCAGATTGACCACAAGTAAACAATTAAAAATTGAATGCAAAGAATTTCGAAGGTAAGATTTCAAAAATGATAATTAACTGGGTTATTTTTGTGAGCTTTTACTACTCCAATTCCTCCAACAGTACTACATCCTACAATCGTATTTTCTCAGTGCTAAAGAGAAAATTCTATAAGCTTCCGCCTTAATGAATTGTAGACTAATGTGATATTCGGGGGTAAGAGTGCATCAGAGCTATAGTTGAGTTCAGATTCTTCTCGTATTATTCTCCTTCTCGGATGAGGAAGTTGAAACTTGAACTCGTTGAGTCGATAATTGTTGAGATGTCTAAAGTTTGTGGAGAAGAACTCATTTCAAGCAGGTCTCACAATGCAAAAGAAACCTTGTTTTTTCTTCATGGCCAATGAATTTTTTTTCTAATGCAAAAATACAACAAACAATGAAAAGCATCTTCCTGTCCAACCAGTGACCAGTTCCCCATCCCCCAACAAATTACCCCAGACACCTATTCAAATCTATAATTCCCAAAGCATATCCTCCACACGGTACTTTCAAATAGGATCCACACACACATTTTCCGTGACCAATTAGCGAATTAATTGATGCGTTTTTAGTTCTACAGCGGCAAAACTAGGTAGGCTGGCTACACTTAGTTCTTCTTGGCTGGGTGAGCATCGAGAGCGGCTTGAATCTCCAAGATGGATTCGTTGGAGAGGTCGGTGAATTGAAGAGAGTCAACGCCCATCTGAGAGGTGGTTAGTATGGAGAAATGTAGAAGTGATGCGAGGAACTTACTGGGACTGGCTTTCCCTCGTTGAAGTCACCACCGGCGAGGACACCGGAGAGGGTCATGCAAGCTGGAGGAATACCAACTACGAGAACAGCTAAAGAAAACGTGTTAGTGATGTCTAGTGGTAGAGGAGAGGAGGTACTTACTTCCTGGTGCTGGACCAGAGAAAGTGACCGAGGCGCCATTGAGCTGGGTCTTGCAGTCCTCGAAAGCGGTACCGAAACCGATGGTGGAGATGTCGAAACCTTGAGGAGCACGCTTGACGCGGCTGATGAAAGTGCGAGGAGCATTGACTTCCTCAAGATCACGGTTCTTGACTGCATCAACCACGACACCAGCGACCGCGGCAGCGGCACTGACAGCTGCAGAAGCAGCGCCAATACCAGCTGCGACAGCAGCAGGAATGGCAGCGAGGAAAGGTGCTGGGCAGTATTGGACCAAGACGACGAGGGCAACGGCCTGGACGATGACTTTGCTGGAGGAAACCATTTTGAAAGATTGTTTGGGTTGGGGTGAAAAAGGGTGGAAAGTAAAGATTGTTTTGAAAAGATTGAGTGAAGGAGTGAGTTGAATGAATGGAGTATCTATCAAAGATGCTGAGAAAGAAGATTGAAGAGAATGCTGAAGGTAATTGCTGAAAGATGAAGATGAAGATGCTGATGAGGAAAGAAAAAGAATATTGGGTGGTGATGGAGGTGGTATAAGTACATTTTTCGACTTCTAGGAAAGTGGTATCAGTTCGGTTGTGAAGATGTTGATGCTCGGAAATTCCGTGTCACGTCATCCTGGCAGTGCACTATTTTCGTGTTGATACCGATACTCTCATGTCATCAGCAATCTCTTGCCTACCTGAAGCAGCTTACCAGCATATCGCTGACTGAATGAGTTTTCCAAACTTCCAGAACTGTCTGGAGAACCCGTGAAACAAAGGATTTCCAGCCCGCTATCCACAACTGCGTGACGAGCAGTCACTAATTCGGAAGTTCATTCTCACAATTCGGGGGCGGAGTGAAAGGGCGTTGTAGTGCGAGCCGCAAATTGTATGAGCTACATGCAACGGATTAGTGTAGAGTTGCAGTTCCCAATGAAGATTCCTACTAGTTCGGGTCGCCTACTACAACGCCAGGTACGATCAAACATGTGAGATCCGCTGCTCCTGTAAGCCTGCCCCGTATAAGCCTGGATTACTATTGTGGGGACCGATGCATAGGCATTTGTAAAGACTGGGCAGGATCCTTCACACTTATTCCGGGGAAACACGTGTGTTCGTCATCTTTGGGGTAGGATTCGGGTATGGAGATCAACACATGTATGCAACCGGGGGTTTGATGGGTTTGGCACAATACGCTCCTTGGATTTGTAGAGCATTGATTTGATCACTTTGGATTTGTTACATTGAAATCAGTATCGGCAGTATTGTGTGAAATCTTCTGAAGCTCGTTCAACGTTCTAACAAACTCATGACAGCAAAACCAGCGAAAATTAAGTACTTGATCCAATAGACTTCTTGCAACGCAATTACAGCCCATCCAAGATACGGAATATACCCTCTTACTACCCCATAAACCTCATCCCTTGATACATACTCCCTGCCTGGCGGATAGAGACTAATATCGTCATATTGATTATTGTCTCCCTTTGTCAAAATCATTTGCCTGTTATCGAATGAGCTTCGTCTTATCTTTTATTACATATTGACTGACCTTTTAGACGCATCTTTTGCATTACAATCAATATTATGAGTTCGGAAAGCACGATGCACCATTGGCAATGGATTTCCTTTGAACCAAACCACAGGCACCTCGCCTATTTCTACACAAGATGGCCTGTTCCATAGAAAAAGTATATCGCCTCGATGAAAAGCCGGTGCCATAGATTCTGAAATAACACACACAATTGGTGTGGGCGAAAGTGTTATAGCAGATAGTCCTTTCCAAAACATGAATGGCGTACAAAGTGTTAAAAGGAGAGGAATCGTCTTTGTCAGGATCGTGCGGATTGTGTTTGTTGTTGGAGAAGACATCGTTGAGTAATTTTCGTGACCGTTGTTTTTTGCTATGCTTCCAGAGTTCCTGGCGATCATGAAAGAAGACTATTTCCCACGTGGAAATTGGTATTCTAGAATAGGTTTCCAATGCATAGCGGTTTGTAGAAGGAAGGTCTCGCTTAGGCATGTTTGCGCCCCTGTCTTGCCTGTGCGATCGAGCAGCACAAGGATCCGTCTCAACTGCGGCTCAGTGGGGAGAATGGATCACCATCCATGTCTGCTCGTTAATTCTGATGGAAGATCATGTCGGGGTCGTGCGAGCTTAAGCTTATTTGAGACCCACTAACCAAGGAGGAATAATGTCTGTGGTTTATTGCTACCGGTAGATTTTTCAGACGTCGAACAACAAACTTCTCATATCTTCGATGTATGTTGTATTGCCCGAAATACGTCAAAGACTCAATCTATGCGTTACAAACTCCCTCGTCTCGCACTTCAATGACATCGCATTTGCATTTCGCTTGCCAAACTGACAGGCGTGGGTTTTAAACTCTTCTGGAAGGAAGTTTAACTTTAGTAACCTTATTCAGATCTACGCATTGCTTCAAATCCTCCGGTGTCACCGTACCACTCCAGCTTCAAGCAATATTAGTCGGGTTACTCAGCACTTTGCGGGCTGGATGGAACAATTGAGCTGTCACGCATATGCCGGCTGATCGTACCAAGCGATGTAACATCGACCAACGGAATCCAAGGGCGAAGCGCCTCCACCATTTCAACACAAATTTGGTCGCACACGTTTTCGGCCCGCCATTTGCCTTCCGGGTATGTACTGTGTGAGAGAGGATTGAGAGCTAAGGTTTGATACTGCCGTGTGGTTTTTAGCTCCAGGGGCGTCAGCACTTGACTCTCTATTCAGACAATCCTACCTGCAAACAAGACACGGATTTTCCAAGAAAAAGAAAGTCAAGGAATTTGGTGACGAGTTCAAAGTTTTGCATAGAGCCTATATGTTTCACGTAAGTTGTTGGGTCACTAGGGGGTTATAATTGGGCTATCGTGTGAGAGGAGCCATTCATTGGCTGCAGCCCCACTTTCCAAGCCATCTACTCCGTGGTTACTGTTTGTTGATTTTGTGATGTGTCCATAGAGTTGAAACTCTCGACTTCAACACTGATCAAATAATGCTCGTTTGAAGATTTGAATAAGGATTCAGATGTATCAAGTTTGAACTACTAACGCCAGAGCTCGATATCGAAATAGTCGATTTTGTCGTTCAGACTTTCACCCTCTCAATACAATATACGAACAGAGACATATTCCATTCACAAACCAACAATTCACCAAAAGCAAACCCCCGCTCAGCCTCATTCAGTTGTAGCTATTAGCCCTCAAATCATCTCAACCACTTCTTCACACTTCCATCTTACAACACCATCGACCTTAAAGCCAAAACACCACCAAAATGGATACCCAACTCCAATCTCTCCCATCTCCAGTCACAATCCTCGATGGCTACATCACCCAAGGAGAAACAACAATCATAATGAAATGTCACGACCGAACCTTCAAAACCGTCACCATTCTCACCTCTGACAACAGACCTCTATTCACCGTCGACGGCAAAGGTTCCGGCTCCATCAGCTGGCAACGCACCATCAGAGGCACCGATGGCGTCGCACTCTTCGACCTCCGTCACCCAAACTGGGGTATGAAGAATCTCTGGACTGTCAAGAGACCCAGCGGTCGCGATCTCTGCTCTTTGAAACACGTGGAGTTTCTCGGAAAGGCCAGAAGTGCGCTTGACATGACTGTGTTCAATGAATCTGATATCGGAGCTGAGGTCATGGTTAAGATTCAACCGAAAGATGCGAGTGCGCTTACGACTGTCGTTAGAGTTGGGGAGGTCGCGATTGCGGAAATTAGAATTGTGGAGGATAATGACGTTATTGATTTGACGGGGAAGGATAGGACGGTTTGGCAAGCTAGAATTGCGGGAGGTATTGATCTTGGTTTGGTATGTACAAAGAACTATTCTTTTGAAGCAAATTCGCTAACTTTTTATTCTAGATTGTGGTTGCCATGCTCTGCCGTGCGGAGATGAATCACGTTTGGAGACAATAAGAAGTGTTCTAGGAAACGAATCTGGTCATTTGGTGATAGGAAGTAACGAGTCTCTTTGTCTGAAACAATTTCTAATCCCAAGTCTCTCAATCAATCCCAGCTGAGTTCCATCGATGTTTTTCTGGCCACCTTTTTTTCCTGACCCGAAGTTCCTCACTTAATATGGCACCTCAAGTCGTAATGCACAAAGTAACTTTCCGCATTAAAGTATAACAGCGTTTTCTCCACAGTTCCATTATACCACAAGCACTGCGTGTATTTCTCAGCAAAAGCTATACTCCGGCAGATATGTCTGTTTTTTCGACATTCATTGTAGCATGACGAGAGAGTAGCTCCGGATTGTTTATGGACTGTCAGGGTCGTTTTTGAGTTCGGTCGGTAAAGCCTGGGACGCCGCAGATTGGATAGCCTTTCTCAGGTGCTGAACTTAAGTTAGCCAGAGTACAAGAGATATTGGGGGTGATTGGAGGGGAAAGCTACGGACTTGAGCTGGGAGGTGTTGTGCGTTGAGTTGTCGAGGCTGAGGTCGTTGGGTGTGCTGTGCCAAAGCCCAAAAATACCAGAATGAAGAAGATGGAAGTGGTGTAAATGCCCATGGCGATTTGATACTAGGAGTCTACGATTGATTATGGCTGTGATTGAGGGCACTACCGATTGAACGATTCAAGGCAAATATGTCGAATTGATATAGAATTGGCATTGTTCCACCGGATTAATTTGACCACAGACTATTATCTTGGTTGGACTTCCCAAGTGTGCTACACCAATTATGTCAAGGAAGGTACAACTGTGCGCACACCTTTCGTTTGTGATACCGGGCTCGCGGTGGACAAACTAACTTTCAGTGCCCACAGATCTCAAGACTAAACAAGATAATTTCGAATAGAGCCCAAGGAGGTGTCATTTACTTAAAATGATAGACGGCATATGTGAAACTGTGCCAATTTTAATCACTAAATATACGATCGTTCGCCAGTTAATAAGAAAACATCTTGTTTCGATACCACTTTCTTCATCCTCCGCGAGCTTAGCCACCTCTATTTGACATGACACTGCAAATCCCAATGCACAAACTCGCTCGTGGGATCAGCATACAATTGCGTCTCCTGTACAATCTTATCATACCACAGACACAGTGTATATCTTGCATGAAAAGCCAGGCTCTTGCACACGTCTCTGTTCTTTCGACATTCGGTATAGCAGGAATGGAGTGTGGCTCCGGATTGTTGATGCGTCGTTTGCGTGTAGTTTCCTGGCACCACTGTATAGCCGCCGACGTTGCAGATTGGGAAGCCGGTTACGTATGCTGGGAATTGTCAGAATTGTTGCGTTAGGAGTGAAGTGTCTTTAGGAAGCGGATACGAACTCTGGCCTGGTGGAGGAGGGGTTTGAAAGGTTGGTGTAGGAGTTGTGGGATGAGCGATGGCCAACCCTGTGAAAACTAGTGCATTGAAAATGGAGTTCGTGTAGATCTTCATCTCCAGAGCCGCTTGATGAAATTGAGTTCTGATGTGGTTTTCAGAAGATCCTCCGTTCGCAAAGCCTATAAGAGTCTGAATTAATTTGATATTGGAACTGATCAACACGATCTTATCAACTCGAACTCGAGGTTCAACTCTTACATTTAATAAGTTGTGACTCGTATGATTTTGTGTTTGCAGCTCCGGATAGCTACATGAACTTGATGCAGTGTAACGGATGCTAGATGCTTGACCCCTCGAACACTTGGGTGTTCGACAGAATATCATCTTCATCACCACGACATCAAATATTTAAATCATCTGGAACCAGCCAGTATTGCGTCGTTGAAGACATTTTTGGGAACGGCCCAATTAGCTCTACCTGAGTTGGTATATTGGTAAGAAAACTTTCTGACACTTGAAACGGTTCGTAAATTTCGAGAGGTCTGTTTGAGCTCTCAAGTTTATCTTGTACGCCAGCTCTGTTGCCTTTTGCGGGGTAAGCTCGAGCTGAAACATTATTGGGTATGACAAGCACTCTTAGGGTGCAGTGGTCTGTTGTAACACAAGCGAGGCGACTTCCGTTGCATCTGATTAGAGGATAGCCTTCAAATTTTCACTCTGATTCTGACTCTATTTGAAGTCGACTTACATTCAATATAAGGATTGGTGGGCAGGTGACTGACACTTATTTTATCCTCCGCGAGCCTCCTCGCTTAACGGCAAGTCTGGCGACATGAGGAAGGACTTGTATGATGAATAAAACTCCATCACAAACAATACTCGAACGACCTGTAATATGTCATGATAGTTGAATGGTAAGTTGAAGTAAATACTTGAATTTCCTGAACGATCCATCATCTCGAATATGTTGAATACCGAGCTACCTAGTATGTTCTCCTCAACCTCCTCAAGCCTGGGCACTGGCCTAACTTCAGCGACAACATGTCGAACCTTATCTCATACAGAACGGGAAATTTTTGGAAAGGAAAAAAGAAAATCTCGCTGGATAACATCAGTAGTTCCCCTTCAAAACCCGGCCGATCGAAGTCAAGAACTACTTTACAAAAGTTGAACTGCTTTCACTCTCTCATATCCCTCTACTAGCTGTTAAAGGTCACGAGCGCTTGAAGTATCCTAGATCTTGGTGTTGTTTCCACATATGCTCAGTCAGCTTGTCACGTCGGCTGTATCCGTGAAATCCAGTTCCGTGGACTTTGCAGCAACCTGGTACGGTGCAGAAAAATGAGGTGTTGTGTCCTGAGTGGAACCTTCTTTCGTGGCGGAGATGATCAGTGTGTCTAGTGAAGCTTTGCTGCAATACACGTTGGTACACGGGATTCTGCGTTGAGGAACCGAAGTGGTTGGGACAGTTGTTTGTACTGCCATGCTTTGAGCTGGGACGTTGGCAGCGATGCTGGTGTTTAAATGCGGGCTGCCTTGTTGAAGTGCTTGAGTGCCCCAATTCCTTTTGGGCTGAAAGATCAGTGGTTGAAAGTCCGGAAAAGTCGTCATGCTCGCGGTGGTTGATGTGATCTTGTGCCGCAAACCAACCCCTTCTAGCTTGAACACACATTCCATATTCATTCGGAGTTCCCTCTACATCGAGAACAAAAGCTTGCACATCCTCCATATTCGATTGATAGACTGGAAAGCTTGCAAAGCCATTGTTGACCAAGTTGTTTGACTGATGCGTAGAGTTGAGGAAATCCGAAGCTGGAAACAGGCCCCGAGTGCCGTCTGAAGAATCGCAAGGGAAACTGTCATAATTACGTAGGCCTTGGGAAAAACAAATAGAACTGATTATTCTTTCTTGTATGGCTGAAGAACCCACGTGAGTGGATGAGCAGGGCGAACAAGGTAAAACGAATTCGGTTCTCGGACGGCCCTCGAAGAGCCGCAATGCTTGGCTAAATGGCGATCAGCAAGATCAAAAAAAAAAACTCACCCAGTCTCAGCCACATCTCCGTAGAGATTCAACCTGAGACCAGAGTCTTCCTGATTGGAACCAGCAGTTCCGTGATAATCGTCTTGCATGTTGAGGGCGTTGAGGGCGTGAAGCGAGATGCAGAGGTGCTAAGCGAGGCGGAATATCGACGAGGCTTTGTGCGAACGGGTGAGATATTTGCGGTGAGAAGTACAAATTTCATCGAAAAGGAGACGGAGGGAGTGATAGACTATATGTCTTTTGGTCCTAAAAACTGGAGGCATGATGCACGCCCTCATGCAATGCACTACCAGATTCCAGCCAGACCTCTTGAACCCCCTGATGAGGCTACACCACTGGTGGCATAGTCAGCCTAGTGAAATGCTACCATTCAAATGGAGATAAATGACTTTTCAGGTTTAGAAGCTTCAACCAAGATATTGTGGGTGGTGTGATATTTGGATTTGAGGTGCAGAATGACGGTGTGGTAAGTGTGACGGGTACGTGATAGAAATGCGTGGACCTACCTGTATCAATATAGTTACCAAGTTCGACGAGAAGTTGAGCATGGATCTGCCACTGACCTCAAGGGAATGAAAGCCATGCGAGCAATTGGTATCAGTGCTGAACATGCATGCAAGGAACTGAAAGTCCTCGATTGTTCCTTCCTCCTGACTTGACACTTGATAATGAGTGGTGACTTGCCGAGCTAGCTTTCAAAGGGATTCAAGTTCATAAACCCCAGCGTTTTTCGGCAGAATAGTCCACTCATCTACAGGCAATCACCTTCTAGCTGTCCAGTGGTGAATTTGATAATCGCTGCTTCTCTTCTCCTTTTGACGGGCTTGCCAAAAATTCCATGGTAATGACTTATTTTTATGTGCTCCAGAGTTGCGGGGGGGATTGAGTCATTTGACGCAGATTTGTATGCTTGAGCCATAAATAAGATAGGGAGAATAAATTTCAAGCGGTACTGTTGAAGTTTTTAAAAGTGATAACAATTTGTTGTAGGGCCGCGGGTATATAACAAAACAAAAATACGACATCTGAAATCTAATGACACTATCAACCGTGACAGTCCCCGAGAAGCTGAGAAGCATCAAGAAAGAATAACAAGAAACAGATTCAACACCACAAGTTATTACATCCACTAGAATTGCATCGTCCTTTGGAGACCTTGCATGGTCGCCGCGGCTCTCATTGCAAGATTTCTAGCTTCCGCTCCAACCTTTTCATCGTCACCAGCCTTGTCAAATTCATTTTTCCATGATTCCCACAGCTCAAGAGTGAGTTGCTGAATTTCTGGGGGAGACTTTTCATCGAAGGATGTTGCTGTCCAGGTGCTGGCATCAGCGTCATGTTGCAAGATCATTTTGAATAGTCCTTGTCCATTCCACACAACCCACTGTGCGGCGCCCATAACATAATAGTCAGCCATGTCCAGTTCCCACGGTTCAAGCTTTGGTTTGAATGCTCTTTTCATAGCCCAAATCGCTGGCTCAGGACTGGCCTCCCAGACCTCCAGCGCATGAACGTTCGCTAGAAATGCTTGATAGTTCACGTAAATCACTTGATCTGCCTCTGATTCAGATCCAGGGTCCGCTTCATTTTCTGTCATATCTTCCTTGAGATCTTGATAGAATTGGTCGATTGTCTGTTCCGGACAGTGCTGTAAATTTAAAATTATTAGCACATGTTGCAACGTGTTCTGGAAAGAGATTGATCGCAAAGCGTCTAACATACAACTGGTTTAATCTTTCTGAGGCGTTCTTCACTTCTTCCCAGTGTCCATAACAGCCTCGCTAGCTTAAGTTGCGATGGGTGCCAGTAGGGAATTTGTTCGGCCATCGTGATTATGAAAGTACCAACCGAGCGGATATTGTGTCCATAATTCGCAAATGTTTCTATCATGCGACTAACAGCTTCTTGAACAGACATCGTGCTGGTGGGCTGGACAAAATCCTGCACAATAAGCCAATTTAGGTAGTCATCCTCATTGTAAGTCAACGGGACTGAAATGAAGTTGGGAGGGTCTTTCGTGATTGGCTTCGGTTTGAAAGAGGAAAGAATGCCTGACCACGATTTCGGTTTGCTTGACTCAACCTTATGTGGCCCAGTGTTGTCATGGCATATTTGATCATGCTCAAGCCGTTCAATCATCAATATGAGCGGCACTGACATGATGTTGCTTGAAATGGCGTGCAGAGATAACGCGACTGTGGGTTGAGTCTGGACAAGTGCCCGCGAGTAGCACTGAGAAGAGTGTGGTGATCAGCGAGGTCTGGGAATAAATTTGTGTGTGAGATAAATGTCCTCATATTAAACACGAATTGAAGACGAACAATGAGAATATATCTAACTACCTAGGTACCCAGGAATGCTCAAATAAAGAGGCCGAGGCCAGGCGCCACCAGGGCCAGGTTCAAGTCAACCCACCGTACCACGATTGACCTGGGCGGTAACAGGTTATATGGGCAACCCATCGGTGTAAACGTTTCAGGTTGGCCTTTATCAACCGCAGGAAAATGTGTACATTACGAACCGCCACTATTACCGCGCGGTGGGCTTCCAACTCGACGCCAGGCGTAGTTGGAGGTTAACCCGGCACCCAAAACACGGCCGTTAAGCCAGACTCAACAACAGATGACGACTTCCATCCATAAGTTAGGCGCCGAAGAGTATTTTGGGACTGCTTTATTTACCGCAGTCGTATGCCAGGCACGGCCAAATAGGTGACCTCTGTGGTATTGTTGAGTAGATCTATCATCGAATGGTTTCATGACGGCCTCTTAGCGAGGTTGGTTTTTGGACCAATCATGTTTGCGATGCTTAGCCGTCAGTATGGAATTTGGGACACATGATATTATTCAGCGCAACATAAAGACATATGCTTCCCGTACGAATTGTATTTTATCTCAGTACTTAAATTCTCACGTCAATGACCGGCCAGACATATCCTGTCATATTCTTCGCTGTTCCGAATTTCTCAACCAAGATAATCTCACTTCTGGAGCACTTTTTTCGAAAGACATAATGATGTGTTTCCCCAGAGCAAAGTCAGAGAGACTAACGAACCCTCTTGGTGTACGTATAACGGACTAACACGCCGATAAAGAACTTTCCAGCCTTTCCAATTTACAACACTGAGAAAAAACAATAGAACAATCATAATCACGAACCTGGGCTCCACTTTACACATGAATATCACCGGCGTTCCAGTATCGAGAGACACATTCGCTCAGCGCCCCCTGTCAAAGTCGGTTATAGAGGACCCAAATATCCTCGCAAATTTCACGACGAAAACAACTTATTCCCAGTCGGAAGTTTCTACGAGTTTCCCTCTAAACCCTATCCTTACAAATACCAAAACACGAAGGGTGAAATACTGCCAGAGTGTCCTGGTGACAGGGCATATAAAAAGAAAGGCGATATAAGGATTATTACGGATCGACATAAGAATATCCAGGGTGTTGTCTCCCGGCCGTTTCCAGTATACGATCTAGTGACGAATGAACGAAGATACACCGGCCCGCTCCAGCGAGCAAAGGAGATACCGATCGAGGGACAGAAGAAGAGGAAGAAGTGGTGGTTTCTATGAATCGCCCGCGTGCGAGAACGTGCTACGAGGCTCTATTACTGAAGACTTCTCACTGATCCAAACCATCCAGCTCAACAAGTCTCATAACCGCATCTACAACCTCATTACCCGCCAAATTAAGCTCCGGCTCATCGATCTTTCTCGCCAATACATCATCAAGCATACCTCTCAGTCTACTCACCAAGACTCCTATCCTAGCCCAACCACGTAGTCGTAGCCAGCCATCTACGACGAGACCGCGACCAAGAGTGTCGAGGGTGATAGGGCCGGAGAAGAGAAGTGCGGTGTAGGCGTTGAAAGCTGTGGAGTTGTTAGCGTTTATAATAAGATGGGATGGGGTGGTGACTTACGCGTTAGGTCTCGTATGAAAACCTTGCTAGTGGCCATTTTGTTGAAGTAGCTCATGTAGACACTGTTACCCGGAAAGGTTTGCGCGTCGAAAACGGTAGAGCTTGGATGGACAAAGACTCGTCCGTTTTCCTGGTTGAAGTACTTGATGGTCTTGGCTTCAGGGTCGAGTTCAACGGCACCAGAGACGGATTGCGCGAACTTCTTGTCTGGGAAGTCGATACGCGCGAGTTGGGGGTTGAAGGCACCGGCACACAGGGATCGTAGGAGAGTGGTGCTGTCGTTATTCTTGTTTAAGGATTGATAGGCGTCTGGGGATGACGGAATGAACGATAGTTCGCGAAGGGATGTTAAGTATTGCGTGCGATTGGAAGAGATATCGTTTAGTGTTTGATAAGAAAGAAAGTTTTCAGAGCACCAATTTCGAATCTCACCCTGTCGAATACTACAGACTGTTAGTAAGACGGCAGAAAGTTGAAAACGAGACATACCTTCGATTGTTGACCATCTCATCCCACTGCTCGTAAGCTTTTAGGTCTCCAATAAGATCACCTTGATTCTTAGCGAACCGCGCTCGAGCTACCTTCGCTTCATCCCTTTTATCCTGCGGCGAGACGAACGGTGACTTCACGGTAAGTATTGCAGCAATAGTGACGCATGCATTAAGACACCCAAACATAGCGCCATAAACCATAAGCTTTCCACATCGTAGATCAGCTGGAATCATGGACAGATGTCGTCCCAGAGCAGTCAGATCATCTCCATCCAATGCTCCCATTCTACCCAATAGGTCCATCGCTCCATCAACCGCTAGACTTTCTGGCGGCGTAAGAGCACTTGCAAGAAATTTCCCAACAGCCTTGATACCCATAGCGCGGACAGAAAGGCAAAGTTGTTCAAGCGGAACTCGCCTGATCTCAGGCTCTGGCCGTTCGGCCATTTTGTTCATCTCGGCATTGCGTGTATACAGCTTATAACATTTGCCAGCTTGAACACGCCCTGCTCGACCTCGTCTCTGCTTACAGGCTGCACGCGAAGCCCAGACTTCTTCGAGCTTACGCATGTTGTTCTGTGGATCGTAACTCGTTTCTTTGACACGTCCAGTATCTATTACTGCAACAATATCATCGATGGTGATGGATGTTTCAGCAACGTTTGTGGCGACGATAACCTTTCGCTTGCCTTGCGGAGCGTGAGGGAATACCCGTCTTTGTTCTGATGATTGAAGTGAAGCATGAAGCGGTAGAGCATGGAGGTTCGGTATTGATCGAAGAGCATCGATCGTACGACTGATCTCCATCAGACCTGGCATGAAAATAAGTATACCGCCGTCCTGCTTTTGGTAGGTCAGATCCGCATCGATTTCTCTGACGGTCTGCGCGATCAAGTCGTAATTAATTCGCATTCCAATGCTTTGGATCGCAGCAGCAACATCGGCATCCATGCCAGACGTTTCCGCATCTTCTTCATCTCGTCTTCCACCACGGCCAGAATTGAAACCTGTCATCTGAATGACGTCGTCAAGGTAATAATCCTCAACAGGATACGTTCTGCCACTAATCTCAACTCTGCCTACTTTGCCATTGCTCTTGAAATAGTCTTCAAAAACACCAGCATCAAGGGTGGCACTCATCAGTATGAGTTTTAAGTCTTTCCTCTGTTTTAAGACATCTCGAAGTAATACAAGTAAAAAGTCGGTGTCCAAACTCCGTTCGTGAACCTCATCGATTATTACATGACTGATATCTGCTAAACTCGCAACGACGTCGTCACTGCTTCCTCCACTAGTTTGAAGTCTTCTGAGAAGTACACCTGTAGTCACGAAAGTTATTTTAGTGTTTGGTGTAACCTTTGATTCGCCACGAATGATATAGCCAACTTCTTGTCCAACCGTAGAGCAGCGTTCATCACTCACACGATCCGCGAGACCAAGAGCCGAAATCCTTCGAGGTTGAGTACAGCTGGAAATTTGTTAGCATCATATATCATTCAGATTGTGAATTTACCTACATTATCTTGGCAGTCCCACCCAGTGCTCTCTGGTACAAATCGTCAAGAACGAACTGTGCTGATTGAGTAGATTTACCCGAACCAGTTTCTCCAGAGATGATTGTAACCTGATGAGATTCAACTGTATCAATGATTATTTCTCTCATCTCCCAAGCAGGAAGAGTTTTCCGCTGTTGAATTCTCGATTGAAGCTTAAGATTAGTTTGCCTGCTAGCCCATTCTTCTTTACTTCGTGGGTCTGGCGTCCAGTTAATCGGTCTAGGATGTCGTGATATCTTTTGTCTTTTTCTATGAATCGGCCGCACTTCACTCGTGCTGGAAGCTGCAGCTGCAATATCCCGCAGCTTGCCCGGCCGTTCGACGATGCTGTACAGATTCTGCTCCACCCAATCGATAAGAAAAAATAGCATTTGTTCTCCCAGGAGGTTGTCAGCAGCGTGATTCAGAGCTTGCTTCATAACACTAAGACGAATGTATGAAGGGAGCGCAGCGTGTACTGAAATGACAGGAAGCTTTTGTGGGTACTCAGACGATCTTCTAAATTGCAGCACTGGCTGAATCTCCGCGTTTCGCCCTCTATTTGAAGGTTTTATTGTGACACGACATATGTCTTTCGAGGGACGAGAAAATTGGTCGCCAAAGACAGATTGTAGACTCGTCAGTTCTTCGTCCCAAATGGTCAAAGAACTTTCTTTCGCATCTTCGGCGGCCCAGCTTTCAGCTTCATCGGGTACGGCGTCATCTTCTTGCCCACTGGACAGAAGAATCTTCTGCAGAGCTTCCGCAGCTGTACTTTCGTCCCCTGTCCTGTCAAAAATCTGTTTGGCCAGATCTATCGAATACCCAGCCTCTGCAAGACGCTTAATTGCACCTTCTCTCTTTAAATCACTGCTTCCCATACTGATACCCGCAGTATAACCCTCGGGTAAAGACCAACGTGGCAAATCATCCTCAGGAACGTGTATAAGCAACCACTCCAGAGTTTCCTCGCGATCTTTGCATTCCTGAACTGCTTCTTCAACATGGCTTTCTCTGAATTGTAGATTTTTGAACTCATTAATAATAGAATGCTTCTGAAAATCGGACATCCGAACACCATTGGGATTCCATATTGCGTATTTCCGTATGAGATTTTCGACATTTGTGCGCGCTCGTTTGCCCATTTCGATCTTGGGTACTCGAGTCCAACCTCTTTGGATGTTATGAGATCCCGAATTTACACCACCAGACCCTCCGTTGCGAAGTGCCAACCCGACGCCTCCTGGACCACCCGGTGTGTTGAGAGCCTTCTCCTTCGCTTTATTCTGCTCCGCGCGCCTCTTCTCCATCAAGGCTTTGGCTTCCTCTCGTTCTCTCAAGGCTTGGAAGGGGTCTGCCTCATATTGCCACCCGCGGCCATCCTTGATATCCTCCTTTTTAAGAACTTCGAATTCGCCCTTCCACAAGTCTCTGTAGTCGGGAGGAAGCATCATGTGTATATTTCGCATACTGCACACTCGAAAGAGTCCATAGGTAGCCGCAAAGTGTCGAGCCTCGAGGGCTGTGGGTTTCGCTGCAAGATGCTTATGACTAGGAGGCAATTTGAAAGGAGCTAGTTGAACGAGCTCTTGTGTTTTAGGGTTCTTAGCCTTGAGAATAACCATCGAGGAATATCCTTCTGGTGTTTTGCTCTAGATATACTTAGCACTCCCCAAGATCAGCGGCACCGTACATACCATGGTATATTCTGGCTTTTCCCATCTCTGCTTTTGGCAGTGCTCTGACAGCATGTTCACCGGCAATTTTCCTGTCCATGATGCCCCTCCAATAATCTTCTTGACATCGGGTCGTTTTGGAGCTTCGCCTAAGATATCGGGACCATCGAGATTTGAAGGTCCGGCAGATGCGGTCGCAGGTCTTTTCGGTTTCGGATCCTTATCGGAGTTCGAGAAAACAATGAAGCTATCGTCGCCGGTTGTGGTTGCTGGAGATGGTTTCTTTGCGCCTCCGCCCCCACCAGGTTTCCCACCTTTCGACTGTCCTTTCTTGACCATTTTATTCTTCGTTTGAATTTGGCTATGTCCCTTGCCTCGGAGGTACTGCTGGTTAAGTGAAACCCACGCGTTTATTGCTCTCAATCTGCAGCAAAGGAAGACCAACCGCCAAACTCGTGGCTACAAAAAGTTTTTGTGGGACGCTCGTCATCACCGAAACGCCCAGCTGTGATTCAATAGGTAGAGATAGATTGCAATTGTTGTTAGGCGAAGAATTTGAGATCAATGAATGAATCCAAGAGAAATGATACAATTCTTACCTCATCTGGTTTCCTACCGTTGAAAATCTTCGACACAGTCTTTCTCTGCAAAATGGTTTGGATGAGTCTCGCGGATACACGTCTATTCTGGTATTGGCGGCCTAAGGCTGAAATGTGCACCCACCCTCGGAGGAATACAAGTCGACTTCGAATAGAGCTTAAAAAGTCTCTATTTACTCAAAATAATAGATGGAATAATGGTGATGTTCTAATTTAATCCAATTATTATACCATATTTTGTCATCTTGTCGAAGAAGTGTTATTTGCGTCTGCCAGTTATTTCGTGCTCGCAAGCCACCACGGAGGACCCCTGAACTTAGGGGAGTGGGAGCTTTGACGTATCCACTGTGCCCCTCAAACAACCATTCTTCGTTCGATGGTTGCTTGCTTCACTACCTTATATTGTCTTGTCAAGCATGAAGGGCGTCGTCTTGTTATGATATCTTAGTCGTCTCTATAGTCATTTCCATTCGCAATGTTTTTCATTGGGTCTATTTCTTTGCTCTTTGCACTGATCTACTGTTCCATTCCAGTCGCGTCGCAACAAGTTGTTGATTACGACGCCTTACCTTCCGACACCATCTTTCCTGGTCCATGGGAAAGCAACATTCGAGCACCATTGAACAAATCCCATATTGTCCCTTCAAAGATCTTCAACTTTGAAGGTGCTGTCTCAGGTCAGGAGAGTATTCTGCAAGATGCGGATGCTGCAAGTGGGATTTCGTGGGTAATTCGCACTGGTGGACTTATTACCTTTGAGTTCGAGGAGAATATTTCTGGACGGTATATTCAAGCGTTATATCAGCAAAATTGAACTGACTGCATACAGTGTGTGCTTCGACGTCGATTCAGTAAAGAATGATCCCTACCTTGTCCTTGCTTATTCTGAATCTCCCTTCTTTGCGGGCAGAGAACCGGATGCTACGAATGATCAGCTAGCTCGAGACCTACCATTACTATTTCCTATAACACATACTGGAGTGAACTGCGTTGCGCCTGGATATAATAGAGGTGGCTATAAATACTTGACCGTATATGTTCCCGAAAATGATATCCCGACCGAGGGTGGCTTCTGGCATGAAGGATTGAAGATTCCAACGAGAGCATTGGAAAAGAAGACAGAGCCATGGTACTCCTCAATTGGTCAGAAAATTTTAAACTGGCAGGAGCCAGTGTTGGACTCGAAGAATAAATCTCAAATAGAAGTTTCCATTTCAGCAGTGTGGGTCAACTGTACCGCCTTTCCATCTCACCCAAATGGCAGGGCATATACTGGTTATTTCGATAGCTCATCGACTCTTCTGAACCGCGTCTGGTATGCAGGTGCATGGACTTTGCAACTTTCGACCCTGGATCCACAAGAAGGCGGATCCATCATTGAGTTTAATCGGCGGTTCGACCATAACACTGCACCAGTAGGAGCGTGGTACTCGAATTATACCATAGCTAATGGCTCTGTAGTCACAACCGATGGAGCGAAGCGAGATCGCATGGTCTGGCCTGGTGATATGACAATTGCGGTTCCAGGCATAGCTGTAACAACATACGACATGCTTGCAATACGTAATGCGCTAAACACTATTTATGATCATCAGTATAGTGATGGTGGTATGCCATACGCAGGTCCTCCGATGGGTGCGCTTCACGAGTTTAGCGATACCTATCATCTACATACATTGATTGGAACGTACGAGTACGTCCTCTACAGTGGTGATCTTGCCTGGCTTAAGGAGAGGTGGTCCTGGTATAAACTAGCTCTCGATATTAGCATTGCAAAGGTTGATAATCTCAACCTGCTGCATGTCACCTCAATATTTGATTGGATTCGCCCAGGAATGGGCGGACACAACGTGGAGGCATCATCTATCCTGTATGAGGTACTTGGAAATAGTATCAAATTGGCAGAATGGGTGGGCGACAAGAAGACGGAGACAAGTGGAGAGCAGTGGGCGGCTACAAAAACGAGGCTAGCTAAAGGGATTGCCACGATGTATTGCCCTGCTGATACTCTCTTTTCGGACAACATAGAAGAGCGCTCATGCACAGCACCTGGAAAGGTTACACCGCAAGACGGAAACAGCTGGGCGCTAATCTCGAAAGCTACTACAGGTGTACAAGCACACAATGTCTCGGAAAGCCTTAGGAAACGTTGGATTAAGTACGGAGCTCCTGCTGTCGAGTTCCCCAACGTCATATCCCCCTTTGCTTCATCGTTCGAACTCCTTGGCCATGCTTCGGCTGGGAATCACGATGCAGCAGTTGAGCTTATGGAGCTGATGTGGGGATATATGCTTGATGGGCCTGGTATGACCAACTCGACATTGATCGAGGGGTATCGCATTGATGGTTACGTTCATTATCCCGCATATTGGTCCGCTGCCAGAAACTCGCACGCCCATGGCTGGTCGGCCGGACCTACCACCGTGCTAAGCCAGGGAATACTGGGTATTGAGTTACTCTCTCCACTCGGCAAGACTTGGAAAATTGAACCCCATCTTACAAAATGGCTCAGTTACGCTCGTGGAGGCTTTGCGACCAAGCTTGGCAAGTTTGAAGTATCAACAACGCGTCTAATTCGTGTGTCTGATGGTCGAAAGGTAGAAGGTTTGAATGTGACAATACCAAGTGGAACATCCGGCATAATTAAATGGCACGATCTGGAGCAAGTTATCACATCGCATACTGCTCAGACTCTGTCATTCCTACAAGAGGCTCGGTTATCTGATGATGATGATGTTCGCACAACTCAAGTTCATAACTTCAATTGGTCGGATTATGTACATGATGATTCCTGGGTCAGACCAACTGTAGAAGAGAGGCCAGAAGCAGTCGTTGACTGGGAGGCTTTGGAAGAAAACTATCATCTTAACGATAAAAAGTATGTTTCTTTGAGAAAGTAGTAGAAGCATTGTTGGTGTTAGACGGGGTTGAATATCACATGTTATTCGAGACCGGACTTATATAGTATACATGAGATGTTAGTATGCTAACGTATTAACTCGTCCCAAATCAACATCATGTGGGCGACGGGAGCTTGACGAGATCGCGGAGGATAAAATAGATGCCAGTTACCTGCCCACTAATCTTTAGAATAAACAAGTCGAGTTCGAATAGAGTTTGACAGGTTTTAATACGATATTTCGTCAACTTAAATCGAAGAACTCGTCGGGCGTTTGACTATCACTTAATCTTGGAGTCAGCTCAATCTAGGTGAATTCTTTGCAACATCTAGATAAACATGTGAATTTAATGTGGCGATGACGACTTCGGGATAGTAGAGTCAATTAACCCTCACACATTTTTATCTCGATGTTGCAAAAAGTTCTTCTAGACGGGGACATTTAAATGATAGGTTAGCGGGTCCGAACGCCAAGACATCGTCCCATAGGGCTGAAGCTCACAAACTGGGAAGCTTCCCCGGTCTAGACTGTGAATCTTCGAACTGATGAAGTTGACCGCCCCATCTTTTCTATCAAAAAGCTCCTCAATTGCTCTTCCGCGTCCTCATTATGTCAACAGAAAAGCCAGAGGAAGCAATGACTCAAGATGAGCTCAGTCAGGCTGGTCCAGCAGATCCATCATCTTCACGGTCCCCGATCCGCAACGCATGTATTTGTCCATTCCTTCCATTCCCTACTCAGCACCGAGACTGACGAGAGATAGTCACAACCTTGATGACCTCGAAGCGAAAACACCCTGATTCTCCCCCAAGAAAGTCGCGCAAATTACACTTCTCATCCTCCCGTCGCGATGGCCTTTCCGCCTACACCTCCCACCCCGAATCCTACCCACCCACCGTCGTAATCTTCCATAACCCAGACTTCGTCGCGATCCATGATCTCTATCCGAAAAGCTCAGTACACATGCTGCTGCTCCCGCGCTCCGAAAAGCATACGCTACTTCACCCTTTCGACGCCCTCGAAGACACCAAGTTCCTTGCACAATGTCGCGAACAAGCAGCACGATTGAAGAAAATAGTAGCGAAGGAGTTGCAGAGACGACATGGTCGATACTCCGCCCTTGATGCGCCGCGGCAAGCTGTTCTCAATGGTGATGTGGAATTAGAGGATGGTCAAGAAATCCCAGCAGGTAGGGATTGGGAAAAGGAAATCATGGTCGGACTGCACGCTGTGCCATCGATGAATCATCTACATATTCATGTTATAAGTGTAGACCGGTTTTCAGATTGCGTTAAACATCGAAAACATTATAATAGTTTTGCTACAGGGTTTTTTGTGCCGCTGGACGATTTTCCTTTGGCTGAGGACGACAAGAGGCGGCATCCGGGGAAAGAGGGGTATTTAAATGCGGATCTGAAGTGTTGGAGGTGTGGAGAGACTTTTGGGAATAAATTCGCGAGGTTGAAGGAGCATCTGGAGCTGGAATTTGCGGATTGGAGAGCCGAGTGAGGATATCCGGATCCAGGTTTCCCCACGGTCGTAGATCAGACGCATAGATTTGCCTTGAGAATGGTAAGTCGAGAATGATTTCTCGATTTTCAACCAAGCTTGTAGCGAGACTGACGGCATACTTCCTTGTAGTGGAAGGACGGTGATTTTTGCCCAATAAACTACATCTACTCGAAGAATTGAGTATATACCACTCTCGCACTTAGCCAAGTCAGGCTAAAGATGCTCGTCAAGGAAGGAGTCTCAGAATTTCGTTTTCTCATATTACTTCATTACTTGGAGGGCGTCCTGCCAGTCTTGCTACGCACTGGTGGACTTCTTCGTTGGCGGACTTGCAATTATGTGCTGACGTTGTGCAGTCGGGGCTTGGGATCACTGTTGGAGCCGGACTGCCTATACGAGCTTAATTGCACGAGCACAGGCATTTTCGTTTGTTCTCAATATTGTTGTTGGTGGGTCTGGGCATTTGGAGGCAACCAGGCAACCAAATTATCCCACCCGGGCCACCTCCCACCGCCACCCGTCGGAATGGCGCCGAACAGGCGATTGAACAACAGGTTAGCAAACGTCACCTGTCAATTTTGACGGCCGAAGCTTCTTTTACTAATGGCTGCAGATGAATTCTGCCAAGAAAAGGGTCCAGCCTTGAGGATTTACAAGCTTTCAAATGCGGGCGTTGACGCAGGAGGTTATCACAATGCCCAATTTGTACTCAGACCCGCTTAAAATCAACTTCACAACAGAAGGATGCTGGTGACCGGTGGGGAAGTCCGTAAACCTTAAGCGGTGGGTGAATGTTACTGTTTCAGAATGGCAAGAACGTATTCTTGATATAGTAAGCTAGCCGCCAGCTTATATTACATTGACGTTCCCAGAAGTATAAAAGTCTTCATCGATTGAAATTCCCCAAGCACGCTTTGTAAAACATCTACAACCATTATACCTTGAACCCATAAGTCTATTCCACCATCAATCAACAGCAAATATGGGTTTGAAACTCCACGGCTCCAAGTTTTCGACTTGCACTCAAAGAGTACTCACAGTCTTGGCCGAGAAAGGAGTTACAGACTTCGAGATTGTCTCAATCAACTTGCCAGCTGGTGAACACAGACGTGAACCTTTCGTCTCCATGCAACCATTTGCCAAGATTCCAGTTCTCGAAGATGACGGCTTTTTCGTCTATGAGAGTCGTGCTATTTGCAAATATATCGCTGCGAAGTACGCTGACCAGGGGACACAAGTGATGCCAAGCACAAGTGATCTGAAGGCATTTGGGGTTTTCGAACAGGTCAGTTTGTGCTGCTATATTACAAATTTCAACAGCTAACCAGTTTTAGGGATGCTCAATCGAGCACAGCTATTTCGATGGACCAGCTTCAAAGATTGGATGGGAGAAGGTGTTCAAGCAGTAAGTTAATCATCGGCGTATTCGATGAAATCGTATATCCTGACAATCATTCAGACACAAAGGTGCTGGTCCTGCAGATGAGGCCAAGGTTGCAGAATACGTCGCCGATCTCGAGTCTGCATTTGCCGTGTACGAGAAGATACTCTCAAAACAGGGATATCTTGGAGGAAACGAGGTTACTCTCGCCGATCTATTTCACTTGCCCTATGGCACACTAATCCAAAGCGTTGGTTTTGGATCGGTCTTTGAGAAGTATCCTTCGGTCAAGAAGTGGTTCGACAGCCTTCAGGCTAGGGAGAGCTGGAAGAAAGCTAGTGTACCGGCCGGAGGACCACCGGGAAAACCTCAAGCAAACGGAAAGCCGTGAAAGACAGCAAATACAGCTCCCGTTTCCCGTTTTTGTCGAAGCTAAATAGGTTGGCGCTACTTCGGTATTGATCAATTTTAGTACATTCCATTCCCTATGATTTGAAGTCGCATGTGCTTGCTTCTACGGTACTTCAAAAGTGTTTGACTTATTCTCAATCGCATTACAATTTCTTCTAAATAAATAGGTGTGATTCCGCTGACATCGCCAGATATGTAGGTATCTGAAATACAACTTAATCGGACTCAGTTGCTCGCCAACAGTCGAGTTTTGAACTTTATTTACCCCGCGATGTACAAGTCGCCCAATCAGAATTGTACGAACTAGAATCTGCCTGTCGACAACAATAACCCAAGTCTTCTAAGCCCAGCGAACTTAAGCCCCTCGTGCCCCTCTGTAAATACTCGGACGTCCTCGAAATATTGGATCCTCTCCTCTGACCTCTTCCCAGTCGCTTGAGCCCCACGGAGTCCGTACGCCCCCACAGTCACATGATAGCCCTCCTATCTTTGCCAATCAATTCCAACAAAGCTAACTCTTCTTGGCAACATTAAATCCTCTTCATCCTCTGGCGAGTTTCCAACATCAAACATTAAACATCTTTGAATGTTCACCCCATGTGGCACGGCTCTTCGTGGCTTCCACATCCGAACCCTCGCATGGGAGAGCAGCCCCAGCATAGCCTGCATCTGCGTCTAGAACGAGTTTCAGCGATGCAGCTGCCAAGTGGGAGGGCTTTGTTTTCCTTTTCTGATCACGGCTGGAGGTGATTATGGCGCTGGCAGACTGTGCTGAGTCCAGTCAGAATTCACGCCTCACTTCAGCCGCAACGCTTGTACGCAAAAAGGAGTCTCTCGTATGGGCCTGTCCGAAATCGATAAATATGTCGGCCGCATATGTTTTCGTGTCGAGTGAGATTTTGCGCCAAGTTTCTGTTGGAATCGGTTTGTTACCTTGGCGGATTATTCCTTATACCCGCGATTCACCAGTTATTTCGTGAACCTTTTGCGGAATTGTTTGATTTTGTTATCTTGTCATCTTTCTTACTTCTACAATCATTCTGCGAAAGCGTCGTGCGCGACTATGAATCCTGGATATGGCGCCCCGGAGCATGAGAGATCTCCCTCTGCGGGAAGCTTAGGTGCAAGAAACGTGCGGGTAAGAATTGAATAGGAAGCTGCAAGTTGGAAAGTTGTTGGTTTCGTTTTGACACAAACTAGATGCCATACATCCCTAATCCTAATATACACCAGCCTTACCATCCCCCGAGCGATCCAGACGTTCACGATACTTACGGCGATGGGCCACATGGTCCGGAATACGACTATGATGAACATCAGCCATATGATCCAATTGGCAATCTACCATATGATAGACCACACGATCCATACGATCAACCCCATCACGATGGGTATGCGTTCGATCCCGAGGAACATGCTCGAATTTCGTACCACGAACCATATCAAACCGCTCCACAAGATATTCCACTTCTCGAGAGGCATAGTCCACAACCGCTATACGATCACCCGGGCGGGAACGACAGCTCAGCTGCACTTCATACCCGACCGAGCCTGGTTGGACACAGTACTGGACTGAGTCTTGCTTCTGGAGTTTCCGGGTTGTCCGGGAATGTATCTACAGATCAAATACCGCAAGCGAAGGTTGGAAATTTGGTTTACGATTGTCCTGTGCCCCCAAAATTACTCTCAGGGTGCAAGCATATCGCATCTGGAGGACGTGATGAATTTACACATATGCGGTATACCGCTGCAACATGCGATCCCGCAGATTTCACGGGCGAAAGGTTTACACTCCGGCAGCAATTGTTTGGCAAGCCAAGAAGGACCGAGTTGCTAATTGTAGTAACAATGTACAATGAGGAGGACGACCTTTTTGCAAGAACCATGTCAGGAGTCTTCCAGAATATCGAATATATGTGTTCTATGAAGGGCCAGCACAATGGATTATGGGGCAAAGATGGGTGGAAAAATATCGTGGTGTGCGTTATAAGTGACGGACGTGCCAAGATAAACCCTAGAACTCGTGCGGTTCTGACAGCTCTAGGAGCGTACCAGCATGGAGTTGCCAGACAAAAGGTCAACGACAAGAAGGTTACGGCACATATTTACGAATACACTACTAAAGTGGGTATTCAAATCAAGAGAGGGGTCGTAGAAACTAGGCCTGGTATGGAAGTACCAGTACAGTTGCTATTCTGTCTGAAGGAAGAAAACCAGAAGAAGATCAATTCCCACAGATGGGCCATTCAAGCCTTTGGAGAAGCTCTTCAGCCAAGTGTGGTATGCTTGCTTGATGCCGGGACTAGACCAGGAAAGGATTCGATTTATCAGCTCTGGCGAGCATTTGAGTTGAACCCTAAATGTGCCGGAGCATGTGGGGAAATCAAAGCTATGCTCGATGGAGGCAAGAAATTGCTGAACCCTCTGGTTGCAACACAGAATTTTGAGTACAAAATGAGCAATATCTTGGATAAGCCTATGGAATCAGCCTTTGGCTTCATTTCTGTACTTCCTGGAGCCTTTTCAGCCTACCGATTTATTGCCCTTCAAAATGACAAGAAAGGGGAAGGTCCACTGGAGAAGTACTTCGACGGTGAAAAACATCACCTGGACGCTGGAATTTTCACGAAAAACATGTACCTGGCCGAAGACAGAATTTTGTGCTTCGAATTGGTCGCCAAGCGGAACTCTTCCTGGGTGCTTACCTACGTCTCGTCGGCCACTGGCGAGACTGACGTTCCTGAGCAGATGGTAGAGCTTATCAAACAACGTCGTCGCTGGCTAAACGGATCATTTTTTGCTGCTGTTTACGCTCTTGTCCATTTCTACCAGATATTCAGGAGTTCTCACTCGATGCTTCGAAAGATGATGTTCCTAATCGAGTTCGCTTATCAAGCCATTAGTATGCTCTTCTCATGGTTTGCAGTGGGCAATTTCTTTCTTGTGTTTCGGATTCTCACGGTCGCTCTTTCCGCGGACAATCTCCTTGGAAAGGCAGGGTCTTATTTATCAATTATTACGGAGTGGGTTTATTTGGGCTCCCTTGTAACATGTTTTGTGCTTTCACTTGGGAATACACCTGATGGATCGAGGAGGTTTTATATGACTATGGTGTACACTTGGGGTGTAATAATGCTGTACAATACCTCTCCACAACTGAATAACTCAGCTAATCTTGATAGGTACTTGCTCTTTGCATCCGTCTTCATCACAGTTCGGTCGATTCAGGCAGAACTCGATCCAGCAGATCCCACGCCATTCAAGCTATCAGACCTCGTCCAGAATTCCATCTTCTTCACACTCATAGTTTCCTTGTTATCTACTTACGTACTCTGGATCTTCATTTCCATAGTCTTCCTAGACCCTTGGCACATTGTCACATCAGTAAGTCTCTCTTCACTACAATTCCTAGCCCATCACGCGGTAGACAAAATAGTGGCAGTCGAAACACTACATTTACTTAGTGTAGTGGACGAAATATCGTTAATTAGTGTATTAACTTGGCACATTGCCACATATTTCTTGACTATGATCTCTAGCCCATGTCGCGGTAGAGAAAACAAGTGGCAGTCGAAAAACCATATTTACTCAGAGTAGTGGACGAAATATTGTCATTTAGTGTATTAACTTGGCACATTATCACATAATTCGTCCATTATTTCAAGTAAATGAGAATCTTAAAGCTCTGCTCGAAGTCGACTTGTTCAGTCCAAGACTATGGGCAGGTTGCTGACATATGTTCATTTTGTCCTCCGGAGCCCATACTAACGAAGCAATAGTCACTTCAATACATGCTCCTCACACCCACCTACACAAACGTAATCAACGTCTACGCATTCTGCAACACTCACGACGTAACCTGGGGTACCAAAGGCGACGACAAACCACCTCCCCTTGCCAACGCCAAAGTCAACACCAAAACCGGTGAAAAAACAGAAGAGCCAGGACTCGACAACACCGACCTCGACATCCTTTACACATCCGCACTCACTGAATTCTCCGCTCTCGAGGTCAAAGTCGAATCCAAACCCAGCGCTCGCGACGTCGAAGAAGGCTACAACAAGGCATTCCGAAGCTACGTCGTGCTGGTCTGGATGTTCTGTAATGCCGGCTTGGTGGCCGTGGTATTGAATGTAGGCGGTTTGAATCGCTTGAGCATTGATAAGGGACAGAATCATGAGGCGAATATTGAGAAGACTTATTTGATGGTTATTTTGTGGAGTGTGGCGGGTTTGAGTGGGTTTAAGTTTGTGGGGGCGATGTGGTATCGGATTCATAGGGTTGTGAGTTTTGAATGAGATTTTGATGATGGGATGTGCTAACGTTTGGGTAGTTTGTGCATTAGATGGTTTGAGAATGGTTGGTGTTAGGCGCGTCTGGGGTGGTGATACCAATACTTCTTCGGTATTTAATAGTTAGGCTTTGGAAGGAAATGAGATGGGCAGATTCTGCATTTCCGACATTTTATAACTGGTTGCACTTGGGGCTATACAGACCAGTTAATAGGTGTTACAGAGATAATTCTAGTCCGTACAGAAATCATCAAGAATTTAACCTACTACCCTAACTCGCAATAGCCAGGATAAGTAGCAATCGTAGTATAATATCCATTTTAAACAATTAACGAAATACTATGTAGTTATTAGATTATCTTACGATATTATTACATATTTCATTAATTGTTTTTAGTAAATAGAATAATTTGGATTATATTCTAAATTAGACTACTTACCCGGTCTAACGTATACTATAAACTTATGCAATAGCGAGGAGGTTCTAGGATGTATTTTGTCCTTCACAAGCCTAGTAGACAGAAAGTCCATGGCTTCTAGTTCGTAAGTTGCAACATGTGAAAGATGAATAGATAGAAACAAGAGATATGGTAATTATTTTCTAGATATCTAACTTAGTAGTCTTCTTCTATCGAATACACCGGATTGCTCTATGCCTACTTAGGTGTTTACTTTACACAATAGAAGCGGATTAAATCGCAAGTCACAGTAACAACTCCGCCGGGTAGATAGGGGGCTACATCACGTGCACTATAGCGCCACATCTCCGGTTTAATTGAAATCGCGTCCGCCATGACGCGAAATCCACGCGAGAAGCTATCAAGTTGCAGGGGGTCGCGAACGTTTGTTCACCACGGCCTGCATTATTTACTTCCTCCCTCTATATTCACAAACACCATTTCCAGCCATAACCAAAATGGCACCCTCACGAGTACCCCAAAAGCGAATACTCGCCGATGCAACGAACGCTCGAAACAATGTCCCATCCACACCCACATCCTCGAAAAAGAGGAAACTCGAACCTATCGCCTCCTCCCCCGCGGCACGATTCAAGAACTCCCAGAATGGACCAAAGGGGAAGTTAGCTTCGAGTCAGCCCAGTCATTTCGAGACGGAGGTTTTGGAGAAGATGACGCAGGATATGGCGGGATTGAAGAAGCATAATTCGGAGAAGGATCAGCAGTGGAAACGGCCTGAACTGGGGGAGTTTGATCCGCAGACGGAGATGCTGTCTTTTCAGCAGATTGAAATCGAGCAGGGAACTTTGAGGGGAGGTAGGGCGACGGCGAAGTTGTATGGAGTTACTGAGGTATGTGTTGCATTGGTGTTCTGTTCGGACGTATCTAATGCTGCAGTAGAATGGTCACTCCGTCTTACTTCACGTCACTGGATTCTTACACTACCTATACGTTGAAGCTCCGGTTGGATTCAAGGTGTCGGACTGTGAGAAATTCAAAACGTTCCTCGATTCCCAAGTTGCCCAGAGCGGTCCTGCGATACACTCAGTAAATCTGGTCAAGAGAGAAAGTTTATATTACTACAAGGGAAACCAGCAGTTTGCTTACATCAAGATTACGGTCACCTCTCCCAATTATGTTGCGACCGTCCGAGGAACAATCGAGCGATGTCAAGCCAATTATCAGAGAATGTGGAAACCGGTGTTGGATAATGAAGGGAAAGGGCATATCCAGACGTATGATATGGTGGATTATCTTACGCGGTTTATGATTGATTGCGATGTTAGTTGTTTTATTTCGAGTTAGGTTGAAATGGGCTAACATTATCAGATTGCCGGAATGTCTTGGGTCGAAGCACCTCCTAAATCCTATACAATGACACCAAAACATGAAAGACAGTCCAACTGCCAGATAGAAGCAGAAATCGAATATCGAGATCTCATCACTCATAAGCCGGTTGGCGAATGGGCGAAAATGGCGCCACTGCGAACACTTTCTTTCGACATTGAGTGCGCTGGTCGCAAAGGTATCTTTCCAGAAGCCGAAATAGATCCCGTCATTCAGATAGCGAACGTTGTTACTCGATACGGAGAGAAGAAGCCATTCGTTCGAAATGTCTTCTGCTTGGACGCTACGAGTGTGATAGTCAACACTCAGGTGCTCACATTCAAACGAGAAGAGGAGCTGCTTGCGAGGTGGCGAGACTTTCTAGAAGATGTTGATCCTGATATCATAATCGGATACAATATTTGCAATTTCGACTTTCCTTATTTGCTGAAGCGGGCTAATCATCTCAAAGTCCAAGACTTTTCGTTGTGGACTCGTCACAAGAATAAACGATCAGAGGCGACAGCAGCGAGATTTTCAAGCAAACAGATGGGGAATCGAGAATCGCAAGCGACGAATATTGAGGGTCGATTACAACTAGATCTGCTTCAATTGATACAGAGAGACCACCAACTGCGAAGTTACACCCTCAATTCGGTCTGCGCACAATTTCTCGGCGAGCAGAAGGAAGATGTACACCATACAATGATTACAGAACTTTTCAATGGAACGCCAGAGACGAGGCGACGTCTAGCGGTTTATTGTCTGAAAGATGCATATCTCCCACAAAGACTGATGGACAAATTGTCATGTCTCGAAAATCTTACAGAAATGGCTAGGGTCACAGGTGTTCCATTCAATATGCTTCTTTCCCGTGGTCAACAAGTCAAGTTCGTCAGTCAAGTTTTCAGAAAAGCACGAGAACAGAAACTCGTCGTGCCTAATCTCAAGACTTCGGGAGCGGAACAGGACTATGATGGTGCCACAGTCATTGATCCAACAAGAGGATATTACGACGTGCCAATTGCAACACTGGATTTCGCATCGCTATACCCCAGTATCATTCAAGCGCACAATCTCTGTTATACAACACTACTTACGAAGGAAGCTGTCAAGACCCTGGATCTGAAAGAAGGCGAGGATTACATTGTCACACCCACCAAAGAAATGTTTTGTACTGCTGCACGAAGAAAAGGACTGCTCTCTCAAATTCTTGAAGAGTTGCTCGGAGCGAGAAAACAAGCTAAGAGGGAGTTGGCACAAGAGACTGATCCTTTCAAGAAGGCTGTGTTGAATGGTCGACAATTGGCGTTGAAGGTCAGTGCCAACAGTGTGTACGGTCTTACTGGTGCGGCTGTTGGTAAGATGCCTTGTTTGCAAATTGCCAGTAGTACCACAGCCTATGGACGAAAAATGATTGAAAAGACCAAGGCGGAGGTGGAGGCAGAGTACACAATTGCGAATGGCTACAGTCATGATGCCAAGGTCATTTATGGTGATACTGATTCTGTCATGGTCAAATTTGGCGTGCAGGATCTAGCCGGTGCGATGGAGTTGGGTGAGAAGGCTGCACAATTTGTGTCAAAGAAGTTTGAGAAGCCCATTAAGCTGGAGTTCGAGAAGGTTTACTATCCATATTTGTTGATCAACAAGAAGCGATATGCTGGATTGTATTGGACAAATCCAGACAAGTACGACAAGATGGATACCAAGGGCATTGAAACTGTTCGGCGAGATAATTGTCGATTGGTTCAGAATGTCATTGAGACTGTTTTGAGGATGATTTTGATCGATAGAGATGTTCCTGGTGCAGAAAGGTAAGACTCTTCTTTGAATTCCCAAGGCCTCGCTGACGTTTCAACAGTTATGTAAAAGATACAATTTCCGACTTACTGCAGAACAAAATCGACATGTCGAAGTTGGTCATCACCAAAGCACTTTCTAAGGATGACTACGTTGGTAAACAAGCTCACGTCGAACTCGCTGCGCGGATGAAGAAACGTGATGCTGGTTCCGCTCCTGGACTAGGTGACCGTGTAGCGTACGTTATCATTAAAGGATCAGCTGGCGCCAAAAACTTTGAACGTTCAGAAGATCCAATCTACGTACTCGAAAACAACATACCCGTCGACACAAAATACTACCTTGACAACCAACTTGCCAAACCTCTAGGAAGAATCTTCGAGCCCATCTTCGGCGAAACGCGAGCAAACTCCCTCCTTACAGGTGATCACACTCGCTCCGTCGCCATCGCCGCCTCCACCGTCGGCGGCCTCATGAAATTTACCAAGAAGACATTCACATGCATGGGCTGCAAGAAACCCCTCACCCGCAAAGAAGAAGCAGGAGGCGCGGTGTGTTCAGATTGCGCGCCGCGTATTGGAGAGCTATACACGAAAACGCTGAATAAAGTCTCGGATCTCGAGGTGCGGTTCAGTAGACTGTGGACGCAGTGTCAACGATGTCAGGGGAGTGTGCATTGTGAGGTTATTTGTAGTAGTAAGGATTGTCCGATTTTTTATATGCGGATGAAGGCGAAGAAGGATGTTGAGGATGCGGGGAAGGAGTTGGTTAGGTTTGATAAGGATTCTGCTGCTTGGTAGGTAGGCAGGCTCGGATTTGTGAACGTGGGTATGGTGTTAATGCTGTTATGATTTGGAGTTCCGGTGGGATGGCAAGAGGTGTGTGAGCATGTGTTAGGGATACCTTTATGATAATATTTTGTATGTGGAAATTTTGACTGAGTACGCGGTGTTTCCTATTCTGGTGAGTGGCACATTTGTGAGCCGTTTCCTATTTTTACAAGATATTGCTTCATTGGAAGAATTGTAAAACCGCTTAGTCGTTATGATAGGGCAGATACATTGTAAATTCATTTCGCAACGTCTGCCAAAAAGCACATCAACAACATGCTCGCTTCGACTAAATTCAAACTCCTGGCATCAAGCCACACACCCAAAGCGAAATCAAACCCAAACTCCTGGCATTAAGCCACATGTCAAAAGAAAGCTCAAATTCCCATTTCTCACCCCTTGACGATCCATCCTCTCCCTAAACCCTCCCCACCTCCGCGCCCTCCTCCTCACCCCGTGTCCCCAAAATACTATCAGGCAACTGCACCGCTCTATCAATCGCAACCGGCAAATCCCTATGTCTGCCCCTAAACATCAAAAAGCAGAGAATAACCTTGCTACTCGTATGAAACGCGCCACTTAACGCGTAATTCTGGTCAGGTAGTCCTATACTGAGTCCGACGCACGCGTACGCACTGATGACTTCGAATAGAATATTGAAGACGGAGAACGTGAGCGGGTCGCGTTCGTAGGATGCAGTTTCGATCCAGATCACGGCGATGGCGCAGATGACTACGAACCAGAAGTCGTGGGAGAGCTGGTGGGCGAGCTGTTGGCGGAGGAAGTAGAGACGGGTACGGGAGGAGCGGGAGAGCAGACTGGCTGATTCGGTTGTGTTAGGGGCTTGGGCGCGCAGTTGGGATGCGTAGATGCCGAGACTGCGCTCTTCGTAGACGTTGGAGGAGCGCATGGTTATTGCGACGGGGAAGGCGGAGATGAACATCATGGGGACGTAGAGGGCTTGTAGGCCGATGCGGAGTGAAGAGATGGAGATTACGGTGAAGCCGGCGGAGCGGATGAAGATGGTTTGGACGAGGCCGTCGAGGTTGCGGTGCGCCGGGGAGAGGGCGTTGAAGGTTGGGTTGCTGTGGTTGAGGGCTTCGAAGGAGATGAAGTCTATGCCGTTGAGGATTAGGAGGACGAGGAGGAGATACCAGGTTGGCGTTGAGGGGAAGAGAGATGGGTGTATACTCTGCGAGGGTATTTTAGGATGAAGGCCATGATTTCGTGCCATTCTTGGAAGGAGCCGGTTTTGGGGGTTAGATGAAGCATTATCCAGAGGATTAGACGGAGGAATAGGGGATATCTGTTTACACTTAGAGGTGTATCTGGATTTTGTTGTCATGACTCACGCTGTATTGCCTGCGAGGGTTAGGAAAGCGACAGTCAAAAGAACGTAATAAGATGTTCCAAATGGAATCTAGGAATCTGTTAACATCTTTCTCGCTTTCGACACTACGGATTTCTCTCACCATAGAAAGATCTAGTAGAGACATTCCAGTGTTATTGAAGGCGGACACTCCGAGAAACACACCAAGCCACCTAGTATAATTGGTAAACTAGAACTTCCGTTTAGGTGGGCAACACTTACCAAGGTGTCGAACCATTGTCGTAAGCGAGACTACTTTGATGAACTGAGATGAACGACCCCAATACAATCGATCCAACCACTTGGAAGGTAAGTAAATATGCAGGAACTAGATAGCTCAGTAACTTTAGGGCTTTGTATTCGATACAGCCAAGCTGTTCTCGTTCTTCGCGAGTCAAGCCGTAGAATTGTGAGTTTCGTCCTACCATGGCATTCCCAAAGACTTTGACGACGCCAAGAAAGGAGCCTGTAGAGGCCTTTGATTTTAAAGTCGGTGAACCACTGTTAAAATCCGAATATTCCAAGACAAAATTCCCCGGAAGCGGATTCGACACGACGTTAGGAGCATGCTGACTTTTCAGCTCAGCAGACGAGTCGTGGCCGATTGTAGTCGATGCTAAAACGAGTCAGTCGTGTTATTTAGAATAGAGAAGAAAGTTAACATATTATACACTCTTTTGCCTCCTCTTTTACGATAGGGTCAGAGTATGGGATAGAAATGAATTCTTGAATGCTAGTGGTAGCAGGCGAGGGGGCTGGCGCTGGGTTATATTGAACGGGATCTTCTCTATGTTGCTTGCCATGAATAACGGTCGCGAACTTGGACTCAAAGGCACGCCTTCTAATCCAAACGACAGACACGCTGATAAACGTTGGGCTTCCGAATACTATCAACAGCCATATCAAAGCCTGCTGGGCAGTATTGAAGGTGCTCAAATTCCGAGTGGTCAGGCCGGTCGACGTAAGTGATGAGATAACGACAAACAAACAGTCGATGAATGGAACGCTGTCATGAGGTCGAGAAAATAGCCAAAAGGCAATAGAACAGACAAAAATGATTGACAGAAAATACAAATGATGAAGTAGGAGAAATGAAGGGGCTGACATGTGACTCGATATCTGGTGTACCAGAACTCGCCAGAGTTTTGTTGGTGAGGGGAATTTCATCTTGGCTGTGTTCTGAGTCTCAATCCCAGAAGGAGGATTTCGTTCTTCATCTGTTTTGGAGCTTTATAAAGTTGTTTGCATGAGCGAATTTTCGAACATAATCTCACTGACGGTGTGGTCACCGAAAGAAGTGGAATCCTTCCTTGAAAGCTGGGAACTTCATCTGACCGTGGCAGGATACACTGGGTGGTACCTGTCAAGTAAGATTCGAAATCGACTTGTGCTTTGAATATCCAAACTAGTACCCAAGTGAGATGTCTCAATGAGGTGAGTTTGTACTAGGTACCTGACAAGAGTTGGTGTTCGCTCGTTGTATCAGCCTGGCTTGTGGTACGAGACTGATCGTATTTCCACACCACGCCATAATGCTATGGCTACAGGAGAACTTGTAAACGGATTTCAAAATATCGTACCTATTGTGAACGTGAAAATTGCCGACTTGATTGTAACAGATGCGTAGGCTGCCGTCTGCTGGATCGGTTCCAGCGACACAGAATGGTGGCCGTCTCCCACATCATGACTGATCTACATCGAATAAGGACAAGCGTCTTGGAACATGGAAACGTACATGTACTTCGGCAAATACATCAACGACCTTTTTGCGTTCGGCTCAACTTTTTCACAGATTGACGCTTGGAAGTCTTGGCTAGAAGCGGCAAACCGAGTTTAGACTATCTTCAATCACATCTAGCATCCTGTGAGAGCTCTGACTATCACAAGGGAGATAGTCCGAGGGAGATTGCCGTACTCCGGACGCGATGTTTCCAGGACGTGGCAGGAAACCATTCCTATCCCCCGTTTGAGCGCCATCTGGAAGCTTATCAGGACTTGGATGGTAATCGCTCGATGAGAGTATTCTCGGAGGTTGCTCCATGGCTCATGATGGGTGACACTGTGGAACTAGGAATTTAAGAGCTTACTTCAGCGGCCATCTTACTTTGGCTTTTTGAAGCATCTCTTGGAGTTGAAGAGATAGATAGATGACTACCTAGGTACTTACGTGTCAGTATGCACGTCTTGGCTCGCAGTCTGCCAATCTTACAGACGCCAACATGAAGTTACATTTCGTGTTCTTCATGTTGAAGAGCGGTCAAGCCAAGGAATTGGGAAGAGAAGAGCTTTCACGCCGGCAGTACGAGTCGAAGAGGTTCCATGGAGGCAGCACGAGGATATGTCACTCAGATTCGGAACTAATTCTTTTGACACCATCTAAGCAGCGTAATCGGGATGCGGATGTCGTGGAAAATTAGCATCACAAGTGTGGCCTGGATCGAATGAGAATAAGTGGAAGCGTACGTTCGATGGAAGTTGCAAAATTGTTGAGTTTATGATGGAGCTTGGGAGCTTCAACATTCTTGCTCTGTAAGTTGCTGGACCGGGAAAAACAGGCGGATTATCTAAGCTGCGCTAGATCAAGAAGTAGGCCGCTGAGAAAAAAGTTCAAATAAAAAAGTTCAAATAAAAAAGTTCAAAATAAAAAAGNTTACAAA